GCAGGGTTTTCCCTGTAAAGGTGCTGTGGTTATGAACTCTCCTCTCTGCACAGCTGTTCTTTCTGCTAATGTTCAGCAGGCATCATCACAGTGGCAGAGGAGAGGCTCACCCCTGGAAGTGAGGAAACTGATTTTTAAGAGAAGCATAGCTCCTGTTTTGTTCCATAGGAGTTTTAGGAATGTAAAGCGTCCAGAGTTGGGCTCTTTAGGCCCTGATACTGCAAGTAGCTCAGACATGGGTGGGTTTGCTTTAAGTTAGAGGCATAATTATGTATTTAAAGGCATATACCCATGTCATTCCTAGAAAATTCTGACTCCTTTTCAACTACCAAAATAGCATCAAGGCATTTTTTAAAAACAAAACAACAAAAAATCCCAAGCACCTCCCACCCACATGTTTGTTAAAAGACAAATATTTATAGCAACTTAATAAAAACAGTCAAATCCCTTGAGTATGTGGTAGACTTGAGTTTGAAGTTCAGAAGAAGAAATCTGGATATGGATTAGCTATGGATGTGATGAATTATGATTATTATGAGTAGCTTTGGATTAACCTTCATCTGGATTAAATACTGTGCAGTGTTTTAGAGAGGAGTTAGTGGTACCGTGTTAGCTGAACTGGACCTCAGCTGAGAGCTCACCCTTGTGCTTGCATGAAACACCCAGGGCACAAATCTCACAGCTGAGCACAAGTCCATGAAGATGGCAACCCGAAAGAGATTGCCAGCAGACCAGAAACTGGGTATAAATCAGCATTTCAATGTGATTTTGTGTTTGGATTCCTTGATAGGTGGGGCTCTCTGATAGCTGAGTGTGACAGCTAAGCCATCAAAGGTTACCTTTGCTGAGCTGGGTTTGGACTGCAGGCACTCACTCTTTATTTACTTCTAGGTCAGCAGCAGAATGGAGTCATCAGTCCCCCCCAGGCTGCAGCCCATCCCCAGATGCCAGGGAATCAGTGGGCCAATCAGAGGAACCTGTACACAAACATGGCACGGCCAGCTTTACCACGGCAAATGTCAGGAGGGTCAGGCAAGATCTCACAGCAACCACAAAGCTTGGATTTCTTGAAAGTGCCTGACCAAGGAGCAGCTGGGTAAGATTTTACATTAAATCTGATAAAAAGATGTCCATTTTTGCAAATATTTTTACACACTCAAACTGTTCATGAGTGATACACTCCGTGCATCAATCAACAGGTTGTACTCAAAGGTTATCATTTTGAGCATTGGAAGTGCACCCAAGGGTTCCCAAGGAGGAGCTTTCCAGTTCCTAAACAGGGAGCCCCCAAGCAGGGTTAGGCATGTACAGAGGTCTTTGCAGTTGTACTAAATGCAGTCGTTTTACCCCACTGTGCCAAGTGTCAGCCATAAGATAGTTCAGGTATATTTAGAGCATTTTTTTGGTTAAGATTAATCTTTGGAAAAGCAAGAAATCAGAAAGAAGTAGCCACTGTTACTTATTTTACCACTTTTCAGCTCACCAGCACATGCTAACAGGCGCATCTCCATCTTGTAATAACTTCCATGGCTTTTAGTGGTGAAATGTTCTTGTCACATGTCAGCTTCTTCCTAAACTCTTTTACTAATACTAGACTTTACTTGGTCTTGAGACTACAGTTCATGTAACAACAAAAACACAAGCCATAGGATAAAACCAAACCCAAACATGCCAGCTGTTCTGCAGCAGTACCAAACCTAAGTACTCTTAGGAAAGTCACATTGCCAAGGCTGTCTTCCTGAGCATTATAAGCTCCTTTAGTAATACACTGAAAAGAAACAACATGACTACTCAGCAGTGGATTTCAGACACATTTCTGTGCCTGTTCCTTTGCAAAAGGAAGCTGTGAGCTAGAAGAGGTGTCACTTTAGTATTTCAAAACCATAGCGATATATAAGTAGATACAATTTTTAAGGAGTAGAATTTGGTTTATTTTTAGCAAAGCTGCCAAGGATACAGTGATATTAACAATCCAGTACAAGACCAAGATTAAAATCAGCAGGCTGCCCCCAGCAGCAAATCATCTCCATTAAGATACTGTAGTTCTACCACAGCTGCACAAGAGCTATTTTCCATGACTTGTGCTGAATTCCTTAATTTCTGTACATAGGTCTAGGTTTCACAGTGTTTTCTATCCTGAACAAAGGCTGTGAGTAGATGCTGAAGAACTGAAGAAAAATCTCTCCCCTCATAGATACATTGGAACTGAAGTGCTGTTATAATCCCTACTGCTAATCTTATTTTCTGGTGCAGTTCACTACAAAGTTAGACTGAGAGGTTTATTGACAAAATTAAGCCAAGGACTTCACGTAAGTAACTGTACCCCTGTCCTGCAGAAGCCGTGTTACATTATCATGGCGTTACACATGATTACATGATCACAGTTCATTCTCCTCCACATCATTTCATTTGTAGTCATCCAGCATATATATTAATTATTTTCAACTGATACAGTGTAATACCTGTTCTCTCTTCCAGCCTTTATTAGCTGATGAGCTGGCAAAATGCATTTCTTCCCTCTTTTCTCTTCCTAATCTTTGGAGTGCTCACAGCTGTGACAGTTTGTGCAGCATCTCCCCTGCTGCTTCAGAGCTGGCTGTAACAGAACAAGTCCATAGATGGCCCTGGAGTCTGAGGGAACTTAAAAGAGATGCGAGTCTCTGTTACAGCTTAGTCACAAGAATGGTAAAGTAGCAAGCCTGTGAGCTAGACCTTTGTGTTTGGTACTGGAAACTGAATCACTGGTGACAATGGGGCAAGGGGAGAGACACAGCCTGAGCTGTGTAGATACCAATATATGCATGAACCGCATGTGCACATTTACCTCCATTTCAGCCTGGGCACTAAATGTCTTATAAGCATTTCAGCTGCTCTTGGGAAGCATTTACTCATCCATTGCCATAGGAAAGAAATGGCAACTCCGTCCCTTTCACAGGGAAGTCTCACCCTGCTATTTTTAATTGTTGTGACATTCAAGAACACCTGTGTTCCCTTTTTCTGTGCCATTCTCTGGAATGAACTCATTGAGGGGGGTGGCTAGCGCTGCGGTTGGAGCGGCCCCAGACCCAGCCCTTGGTGTCCGCAGGGCCCGCAGGCAGAGCTCGAGCCGCCCGCCGCCGGCCGGGGGCAGGCCCAAGCCGCAGCCCAAGCCCAAGCCGCAGGTGCCGCAGTGCCGCGCGCTCTACGCCTACGACGCGCAGGACACGGACGAGCTCAGCTTCAACGCCAACGACGTCATCGACATCGTCAAGGAAGGTACGGCCGGGGCACGGGGCTGGGCTGGGCTGCACCGACAGGCCTTGCTGGGCTGCCCCCTTTCATCTTCTCTTGATTGGCTTGCAATTTCCATAGTGGCTCAGGGGGCAGAGAAAGCTGCCACCCCAGTCCAGCCCCTTCACTCAAGTGGATGTCGGGGATAGACCAAGGACCTGTCACTGGGTACTAAATATGCTGCTACATATCAAAAAGATTTAGGCTCATTTGGGATATTTAGTGAGTCATTCTGCCACTGGCTCTAGACAAAAACTGGCCTAAATCACAGCTGTAGCACAAGAAGCAAAATGGAATTAGCCAGTTCAAACTCTGGGTCTCCAAAGCACCCTCCTCAAGGCAAAATGATGTGGCCAAAAGATGAGCACACTCCAAAAATCCTGTCCCCTCATTCCTTCCCAGAAAGGCTCTCGGTGAGCGGGCACAGCTTTGCAAGGTTACACAAAGTATACAGAAATGCTTCCAGAGGCTCACTCCTTACCTTGCTGTCCTTGTTACAGATCCTTCTGGCTGGTGGACGGGAAGACTACGAGGGAAACAAGGTCTGTTTCCCAACAATTACGTCACCAAGATTTAAGAGACTGTCAGAGAAAAATTGGCGTGAAGGTACCGTACAGTGGTTGAAGATGTTTTCCCCTGCCTTCAGGACATTGTTCTTCCAAGGTCTGCCTTCTCAGCAGTATTTTCACCAGTAAATTGTGTATGAGCAGGAAGAGTTGCCCACAGTACAGACTTGGATTTTTGTCTCAGCAACATACAGCAATGAACTGACCAATTATTTATTATATTTAAAACCTGGTTTAAACACCTGCTAAGTGAAGAATGCTCAAACCTACCATCTTCCTGAAACAGGTGATTTACAGTCTGGAACCAGGGACTTTCAAAGGGGTGTATTTATTAAGTGCCTTCAGCTCAATATCAGTAACCTTTTTAATTATCTACTGAAGATAATGTTGAATGCACATTTCCTCTAATGCAGATCATTCTGGGGAACATGTTAATAAGTATGCTGCTACATGTCAAAAAGATTTAGGCTCATTTGGGATATTGCCATCTGAAAAACTACTGTGATGGTCTATTTAAGTAATTCTGTACAGAGATGTAATGGAACTGGATTGTGTTTGCAGGTATGTTTAGGGACTCCAACAGGCACTGTAAGACTTTAAAACAGAAAACCACATAGTACTGTATGCTAAACAATGTTGCCTTCTTCAAGAGTTATATTATAATATGGCTGGCCCATGTTGGATTTATGTTTAATACTCTACCTGTTATAGAAAGTGTCTTTATGCAGAGCTGTACATTTATAGAAATAGTTATATACTGTATATAAAAACTGGTTATGATAGAAACATGTATAAATGTATAATGCAGTAGTCCACTGTTCTTACGAGGTAGTACTGCTAGAATTTTTATGCCAGGTACTTACAGATATGCACTACTCCTTCTCCTTTTAAATAGCACAAGCACGGGTGTTACTGCCCAAGTCTGATTGCCTCCCCCAGAGTGGCTGTTGCTTGCCCTGCAGTTCTGAGAATTCCTGCTTTGCCTTTTGAACCTCCATAAAATAAAACACAGGATGATCAACAAGGTTTGTTCTCTGTGAAGTTTGTTCTCACATATACAAACAGATCCCTTGACTACAATGGCTTCGGGATTTTACTGCACTGACTTCTAAAGAAAGAATCCCTTTCTTCACTCCAAACCAAATTATTTTCCCCATGCCCAGCTGAAGTGCCATGCATTGCATTCTCTCATGTTAAGAGCAGTTAAAAAGCCCTGCATATGCTAGTATTAAAAAGTTGCAAAAGCTTTAAGGTACAGCTAAAAATCTTGAATCCCTCCCTCCTAAACCATTGCCTAACTTAGGTACACAAACTCCCATCTTCTATAGCAGCTGTTTCTGGGAGCCAGAAATGAGGACCTCACTCCAAGGGAGGAATAATATCCACACAAGGAATGAGGCATATTTTTCAGAAGATGGTTTGCAGCAAGTGCTAGGCTTACTTATGCCAGGGGAAGAGAAGAATCTACCTGAGGAGTGAAAACCCAGCAGCTTCAACATCCTTCCCCCAGGGGAGCACTGAGAGGTCTAGGGCAGCATTGGGATCTTGCCTTCTACATCAGAGCCAGGCACACTCATGAAGAGATGCTGAGCAGTCACAGAATAGCTAGGCATGGAAGGGAGGGACTGAGTTCAGTACAACCTGGGGACTATCAGAAGGTCCATTTTAACATTACTTACACAAGATGAATTTAACAAATAGACATGCATGAGGTATTGGGGCAGAAAAGTTGCATTACTTACATGCTTGCATTCCTTGGGCACACAGATACACTTAGATTAAAACCACAGACGAAAGGATGCCAAGTGACAAGGAAGTGACAAGAAGAACTGCCTTGTGCTGGGTTTTACTCTATAATCCCAGGTACAGAGATTTATTGGAGAAGCAGGGGGGAAAAATATGTGGGCAAGCAAACAGGTAATGAAAAACCTGAGGGGGGTCCTTTTCAGGAAGTGGAGAAGGTTTCAAGAGCTGAGCTGCTTTCAGAAGGTTTCATGGCCACAGTTCCACACCTGCATTCCCTGCACAGTTAGCATTACAGACAACTTCCAGTTTTTCTACCTTAGCTCCCTTTTGTTAAGCACACAGAGAAACACAAACATTTACAAGGTTAAAGACAGCCTACATCTTTCCCCCAACTTAAAGATGGCTAACTACAAAAAAAGAAATAAATTCCAGTATAGTTTCTTGAAACAAGACACTGAAATAAAGTACATATTTCGTGTTCTTTAAGGTACAACAAAAAACCTGTCTGCCTTCTCTATCTTAAGAGTGAAATAAGTTAATAGATATAATGCAATATATAAAGCTTGGAGATTCTCTCTGGAAGAAACCACAGAGAATAATCAAGCCCATTTAACTGCAACTTGTAACAATCACCTATTTAGTCAAATGTCCCACTTGGACATTAGATTGCAAATACACAGGTTGTACCTTAAAGAGTCACACTCTCAATATTTAAAAGAAAGGAGTTTTATTTTTAGATACAAAGCTGTATTACAAAGCAAATTTAAAATGTCACCTTCTGTGTGAGTCGGAACTGTCTGTGGGAGCTGGAATGCTATGTACAAAAGCAGTGGACAAAGTGCACACCCCATCAGGCCCTGGCTGCCCAGGGCTTCACAGCAGTGATGCAGCCAGATCCTTGATGATCTCACTGTTCAGCTGAGGGATGGTGCTGATGGTCAGTAGTTTGCTGCTTGCATACTTGTTCTTGATAGCCTGCAGAGTAGAGAACAGAAATTCAGAAGTTTCATGCATACACCACTGTTTGGGTCATTTTGTCTGCCTGCTTGAAAAACAAGCAAACAAACAAGGCTGGCACTGAACCAGTTAGCAAGGCAACAAGAGCACAATTTGTCTGAAAGGTTTTTTTTGCTGTTGACATTAATGCAACAGCCTCTTACAGGCTTGTCAGAACAGCTTATGCTTTAAGGTAACATAGAGCGTTTACCTAAGGAGCTACAAAATTATTTAAGTAGTTATACTTACAGTGTATTTTGTTAACTTCTCATTTACTTTGACTACATTCTTGGCCATATGTTTCATGGTCATCACAAGACTGTCTTCTGCGTAGCCAGTGTAGTACTGCTGCTTTGTACCCTGCAGCAGAATGAGAACAAACTTGAGATTTGTGAAGGGGGAATTGCTGCTGGAGGCACAATCACTCCAGGCAGCAAACACCCTGAGCTTCACTGCTAAGCCTGAAGTGCTGGGAACTGCAGCTGTCAGTTTAAATGACAGATCCAGAGTAACCTGATGTGAAGTCTGGACACATCAATTTCAAAGATGATGCTTTTAGACTGAACAGAGGGTAAAAAAGCAACTATCAGCTGAATTACAACTCACTACTCATGGTCCACAACTTCATTATGCTACATGTACTGCAAGAATTAGGAAAATCTGCTTTTACTTACAGTGTAGCCTTCAATAACTCAGTGCTTTAATAAGAAACATCCTTCTTTACCCCAGTATTCACACAGAAAAGGACTGTGAGTTTTTACTGGTACATTCCTTTTTCTACCTGTCACTAAGCATCAGGCTGTCCAACCATCAATCCAGCACCAGCACTGTCACCAACTAAACACAATTTTTAAAGTACTTTTTTACTGGTTGGATTCCACTGAGTGAAGAACAACCAGTTTATTAAAATGCTCACCCATTTGTTATGGCCCAGAATCTTCTGAGACAGGCACAGTGCGGCAGCTGCGATCTCGGAGGGCCGGTGGTGAACCATGTCATAGTCGATCAGCGTCAGCTCCATCAGGTACTTGGCTAGAGTGTGTTGCTTAGCATCAGCCTAGCAGATTGAGAGCTTGTTAGTCCACAGCTTCACTCCCTTTAGCTTTATCACTCAGAATTGCTTATTGTGTTCAAGAACAAACCAAAAATAGCAAAGTCTTCACTACAGCTTAGGGACCATCCTTTCTAACAGACATTCCTCTCAAAATCAAGACCAGCAGCCGTTTGGACACAAAGTCAAGTGAGGGATTTTAGCAGAAATCTGCAGTATCAGGTACTGCTGTGCCCAACTAGGGACACTCTGTAATGCAAACTACGGGAGCAAAGGTGTCAAATTACTTAAGGAGAAACTTGATTGAGTTACCCAGTGGTCTGCTGAGGTAACTGAAGCCCACCTCAGGTGTAGGCAAGTCATTTGAATATAATTACTGAGGTGGAGAAAGAAAGGGCTGTGTCAAAGAGAAACCTTATCTTTTGATTCCTAAATAACACAATTTTTACAACCAGAAGTTACGAAGAACTGCAACACTGCTAGTGTTTTACTAATAAGTACCCTGTTTACCAGGATTAAAAAGATTAAAAGCAAGGCTTCTTAGTTTAACAGTAAAATTACTGCCACTAAGGCTGAACACGGGCATCAGGAAATGGAAATATGAAATACTGCTGGCTGCCACAGTGACAGTGTCGTGTTACGCCACACGGTGGAGTTTCAGAGCTGAGCATTTCTTCATCCAGCATTTAAACTGGAGGAGGTAAGGTCACATGACAAAAACACCAGAAGCAATCCTTACAGGCTTGAGCAATACAGGGAAGTGCTAGATAATGAGCACAAGTACCCACCTCCCCAGCTTTTGATGCTCTTCTTAAGAAGTGAATTGGAAGAGGTCGCCCCAGGTCAAAATTTAATTCTCTAAGAATAATAATTTCCATTTCTCTAATTTCATTACTGGTGTAGGCATTGTCAGTAATGTAAACAAAGTCTGCTACATCAGGAGACAGTATCTCTTCATATTTTGAAGCCACAAGCAGCGCTGTTACGCCCACCAGCTGAAGCTTCTTGCGAGGTACTGGATGACTCTGCAACACAGACATTAAAAATGCAGGCCCTGAAGTGTCAAACTGTAGATAATCAGATTCATATTTATCAGTTTAGAATACCAGCATGACAATGTTCATTCCTATAAATGAGGTTTTCACTCTAGTCAAAGGTGTCTGTATAGTGACAGGCTCAAAGAAGGCAGCAGCCTCACTGTAACAGCTCTTACACACAGAGCAGATTTTGTTGATTGTTAAATACCTAAAGAAAAGTTAAACCCTGAACTCCTTTACAAACACAGCAATGAGTAATTACAATGAGCACGACCTGAAGGAGCTCTCACCTGCAAGAAGCGATCCATGATGGCCACACACATGTAGAGTGTCTCCTGCAGGAGGCGGAACCTCGAGTGCACCTGCACCAGCCAGTCCACCAGGATGGCGCGCATGCGCCCGTTGATCGTCCTCCCGTCCAGGTAGTGCGGCCGGACAGACTGCTGTAGCTGTGGGGAGAGCGGGGTCAGCAGCCTGGCACCCCCCGAGGCACCCGGGCAGCCCTGGGGCAGCCTACCTCGAGCTCCCGCAGGTACAGGTAGATGTCCTTGACGTAGTCACTACACAGCTGGGGGTTCTCCCAGTCCTCCGCATCGATGTCTTCCACGTTGTTGAGCAACACATCAGAGAAGGCTTGGCACAAATCCTCCTCCTGCACGGACACATCCATAGGCACAGGAGACAGAACCTAAGGAACAGATCACATCTGTTAACACGGAGCTACTGTTTATGTTTCACTGTTCCTTTGTTTCCATGTTTCACCTGTCACTAATGCAACTTCGGATGGAAGCTGGGGCTCCAGCTCAGCAAGTTTTCACTGGCATACCACAAACACAGAACCCAAAGATCTTCCAGTAATTGCCAGCTAAAGCAGAATCTTCATCAAGTCCTCCAGCAGCTCATTCTGCCACTTGAACACCATGCATTAAGCTTTAAATACAACATGCATTAAACCAAAACCTCAGTACAGGGACTTTGCTTTTTCAGCAGAGGAATGAGATACAGCCACAGATAAATTACTGTGAGGGTAGAGCTCAAAGTTGCAAAAGAAATTAAAAATTAGAACAGTATCACCAGTTCCTACCTTTGGAACATCAGTTTCTTTGTTTGCTTGATTTACAGCAGCTGGAGCTTTAGGCAGTACAATTCCATTTGTCGTCTTGCTAGGTCCTTTCACAGGCTTTATGGATGCTTTGGGGCATTCTGTTTTCTGTAGTGAAAACATTTATTATTAGTACAGAGCAGCAATCCAACTTCTCCCTGTACAGAGATTTCAAATGTTCCTTTACCTTAGATATGTGTGTTCCTCTTGTTGTAACTTTATTTCCTATTTCTTCTAAAGCAGCCCTTTTGCCAGTCACGTGAGTTTTCGCTTTGCTTCTAAGGTCAGACACAGCATTCTCCATCCCTCTAGTGATCTAAAATGACAAAATTGCAAAATAAGAGTCATAGACCAACAGCTTTGCAATGCCTGACTCCATTGCAGACTTACCACCACTGTACCTACTATGCATTACTCAGCTAGCTTTTACTCCCCAGCCAGTCACATCTATTCAGAGGAAGAAGTCTCCTCTCCAGGTTCAGAGGATTGTGCTTCCGAATGGTGTTGTAAAAGTAGGCAACGCACCCTCTCATACTGTGTAACTTTGTAAGGTCAGAGCGCTCACTGCTCTTTAACGCCGCCACACTCACACTTCGTAACGCCAGCAGCGCCCCCCAGAGGATGCACACAGCAAATTCCTTGTTACACATACACCATGGTAAGTAAAAAGCTACGCTACACACACAAAAAGGAATACTGTTTGTTTTGCACACCTGTTAAACCACCAGGCTTCATTTTTTTTTCGCTGAGTTCAGTTTAAGCCATTAGACAACCACCACAGAAGAGAGGCTCCTGTAGTCGCTTCCTGCCGCTCCCCCTGAGGCAGCTCTAGTTTTCCCACTCCCCCGTTCCCGCTGTCCCGCGGGGGAGGCGCGGGCGGCCAAGGCCGGGCAGGGGCGGCCAAGGCCAGCCCTGCACGAACGGACCCCTCACACCGCGGAGCCGCTGCCCCACCCGCCCAAGCACGGGGGCCCGGCCGGCCTGAGCAGCGGGCCCCTCGTGTCCGTGCCCATGGCGCTGCCGGTGACGCGCCGTGCCCCTGAGACCCCCGCCCGGCCGGCCCGCGGCCCCGCGCCGCCTGAGGGCGAACACCGGCGGGGCCCTCGCCCCCGGCGGGGCCCCTTCTCGCCCGATCCCCACCACTCCCCGCCCCGGCTGCTCTTCTGTCGCCCCCCCGGCCCGCCCGCCGCCCGTGGCGGTACTCACAGGGGCACGGCGCGTCACCGGCAGCGCCATGGGCACGGATACGAGAGGGCCGCTGCCGCCGCTCCGCACGGACCCGCTCCGCTCTCCAGCCAAACCGGCAGCCGCTGCCGCACGCTGCCGCGGCCCCCTTTAAACCCTATCCTGCTCTACTATTGGACAACTTCGTACGATGCACGCGTTCGATTGGTCCGTCCGCTCAGGCCCCGCCCCAGCAGGAAACGGCTGCAGCCGCTTCCGGTGGCGGGGGACAGGGCGGGGCCGAGCCCGAACGGCACCGGCTGAACCGAGCCCGAGCTCTCGGCACCGGCTGAGCCCGAACGGCACCGGCTGAGCTCTGCCCGAGCTCTCGGCACCGGCTGAGCCCTGCCCCAGCTCTCGGCACCGGCCCCGTGCCCGCCGAACGCCGCCCAGCGCCGGCGCTCCCTGCTCGGGGGAGGGAGCCGACAGGCAGGAGGGAGTTTAATAACGAGTCCCGCAATTGTCTAAAGCGATAGAAAAGTTTACTTGCAGTTCTGCAGTCTCTTAAAATCAGCACTGAATTCAAGGTTCCAGATAACTCCATTTAGCAGGGTAATTAACTCAGCTAAATGCTGATCCTTCTCTAAGAGCTTTTTTTTAGGCAGTACCTGCAGTAATACATGCAAACAAAAATGTTTACAGATCAAGACTTCAAGAGCAAGACAGGGGAAGGGGAAAAAATTGCAAAAGAAACAGATTTTGAATGATACCAGTCTAACATTTTATTTATTGCATACAAAAGGATTTCTTTTGACAATGGAATTTCATATGAAAAGTAATTTGATGCATACTGTTGAGAATCTTATCTGTAAAGATGCTGCAGAAAACTTAAGGCAATGCATCTAAGCATATAAAGCACAGTAAGTGGTGGAAATTTTCAAAATGAAAAGCCTATTCCTTTTCCTTCCCTTAAACTATGGTTAAGTCACAACCTTCTGGAACAGAAGTAAGCTGCAGCTTTTTAGCCCCTGCAATAGCATTAAGATCAGAACACTGTGATTCCTGACAAATACCTAAGTGTTCAGCATCACATTACAACGTTATGCATACATTTAAAAGCAAGACAGTATCAGTAGCTATTATATAACAAACCAATTCATGGATCACTAAAATACCTCTAGTACCAGGCACTCAAATTAGACCCATAAAATATTTCCTTAAAATTAAAAAAAAAAAATCCCCCCAAACCTGTGCTTCTCTGTCCTGTAAGGAAGCCAAAATAGAATTTATCACACACCCAGGCTCTCCGTTACTTCACAGGCCCTGGGGTTTTTTCCCATATCTCTCAAGTACCTTCTTGGAAACTTTTAGAAATGAGTTTCATCAGTCTTCAAGCATTAGTGGTCAATTAACTTCTTCTCAACAGTCACTGGAAAACACAAAGTGTCTGTTCAGTCCTTCCAGTTACTTTCATTCATTCTTAGCAGTGAACAGATTAATGCAGCTTCAGCTTTGCAGTCACTTTCAGTTTCCTACAGCCAGAATGTTCAAGAAGCTTTAGCACAAACCCAAGGCAGGTTTTGAAGCAGTCCAGCCCGTTGCCTCTCTCCCATATCCCCCATCATACAAGCGCAAAGTGGTTTTAAGTTCAGTTTCAGCAATGCAATTCAGCTTGAAAAGGTCCATTTAGCACACATGCTGGAATAAAATTTCACTCTGTTTAAAGCCTCAGTGCCAGAGGTGTGAAGTTTGCTGCCAGCAATAGACACTGTACTCGCAAATGCTACTACTAACAGGTAAAAAAAAAAAATCAAATAAAAGGGAAGCAGCTTTAACCATACAGAAACAGGCATCAGATTCAATAAGGTAATATTCATAAATGGATTTTTTAGTGTAAACATAAGAGTTTATCTTCTAGGTTTACTGTAAACCGTTTTACACGTAATCTGATCATGAAAGACAAAGACAAGAAACTGAAGGTATTTATTATTCAATCCACTTACAAAGCAGGTGGCTTAATGCAAGCTAATTGGCATGTTCATATATGATCCCCAAGGAACATCTTTTCCAAAGTGACAGTAACACTGCCTCCATGTCTTTGCACATTTGCACTTTGCAATGTCGAGCACATTTAAATAAACTAGAGTCTACTAGACGTGAAAGAATGCTGATGAGCAACTTGAATCCTGATGTGGACTAAAACCTCCTTCAAAGGCAAAATGTTAGTACATCATAACTTAATTCTATATACTATATTATGCAGCAAATCTTAACTATAGAAAATAGTTCAATCAGTGATAGACTGTTGGTAATTTATAAAGAGGGAATCTATGACCAAGGCAAAAACTAGGGAACCACATAATTTGTGTCTCAGTTTCTACAGGAATTTACAGGCTTTCAACTTACTAAATGAAAAATAAAAACAAGAGACAAGTGGATTTAGCTAACTTTATTAACTTTAAATCTAATAAAAATCCCAAGACAAGCCTGGAATCCTTAGAAATTCTATGAATTCACGTATATAAACCCAAACAAAAACCCTGCAGCTTTAAGTCCTTATTGAATGGTTTTATATTTTAAAAAAACACAAACCAACAAAACCCAAACAAATAAACAAAAAAACATAGCAAAAAAAAAATCCCAAATAAAACCAACCCTCAATGTGCGCAGATACTTCAACTTAAGTTAGCAGAAGACCAAACAGATTCTAAGCTCTTTTTCCATGTCCCTAATAATTCTTTCAGTCTGCAAGTATCTACAATCCAGCTAACTGAAATCAACATTTAGTGTTCACTAAGAGCTGTTTCACAGCAGCATATATTTAAGTTAGGGATTCAAATTTCTAGACATAGAAGAAAATGATAAATACAATCTGAACAGCAGTCTAAATGTTTAATATTGACATTCAAATATATCTGCATTGTGCTGAAATTTTTAAAACAAACACAAAAATCTGATCAGACAAAAACTCTGGTGATGAGTATGCTATATGTATCAGTCAAACTGAATATAATATTCTGTTCCCAGTATTAAGGATGTTATTTGACTCATAACTGATCTTGTAAATATACAGCAGCCATTTTTTCCTAATTAAGGAATGTCTCAATACATAATATTATCCTTTTCTAGATGATCTTTATACATTTAAACTAAAATATATATGATCGATTAAATTAAGGAATTCAAGGTTAGTAATGAGTGAAATCATACTTTCCAAGCTTGATACTACATAAAACAAACCAAAAAAAGAGACCACACAATTCTACTTACTAAAGCAGCTAATCTCGCCTGCAAGTTTGGGGTCACAAAGCCCATAATATGTGCAAACAAATGCAATACAAGGAACCATGCAAAAATACAGTAATGAATTTAAAGAAAAAATGTAAAACAAAACAAATTTATAAATACACTGAAACTCAACTGTCTTCTACATAAACTGTAGGTCTAGCATTAGTTGTACCATATAGCAGAGCCAGCACTCTGGGTTCAATGCTTCCAAATCTGCGCAGGTAAGTCATGCCATCTTTGGTTGACTGCAGTACCAGGAAGGATGAGAGGGAGTGAGAGGGAGGACAAGAGTTCTGGAAAGCAGTGTCAACTTTCACTAGGCAGCTGAGCCTCAATGTCCACTCTGCAAATGGGGCACTTCTTGTTAGTAATCAACCACTGATCTACACACACTTGGTGGAAAAGGTGCATACATGGAAGGCGCCTGTCATCAGAACAAAAACATTGGTGTTAATAAAGCATTTCCATATCAACAAACCCATTGGAAAAAACACAGTGTGGGCTTTGCTACTAAGGTCTGTTCTTTCTGTTTGCCCACAGGTTTCATAGCCTTTCCAGCTGCACATGCATTCTGTCTAGTTCCAAAAGAAATGGGCAATGAAGTCAAGCATCAACTGGCTTCTGCTGTATTAGACTGATTTACACCTGCTGGAGTTTAAGTAGCATCACTCCAGAAACACTGACAGTCCTGATTAATTCAGGGCATCAGCTTGGGCTCATGTTATAATACAGACAGTCAAACTATGGAAGACTGATAGAATAACCCACACTCTACCTAATGACAGTACAGATTGAACAATGTGCATTTTCAGCTGCAACTTGTTTGATTGTATCAGTTCAATGACAGCACTTAACTGTACCTGTTATCCTAAGCAGTACTGCAAAGCAGGGCACCACATTCAAGTATGGTGCCCAAGCCAGAACATCAACATTGTATTTGGATATTCAGTGTTATTTACCTGACATCTTCACCTTCCTCCAATATAGACAAACAGATGGTGCACTTTTCCTCTGTGTCTTCTTCTGTTCCTTCTTCCCCATCTTGTTTGCAGTGCAGTTTCCTCTGTGAGAACCAATCAGTTGTTACCTTGTTAGTAGAGATGACATTATTGACAAACTGAGTAAAATCTGTTTTTGATACATATTCAACACATATTTCTTTGAAAACATTTTGTAACACTTATTAAAATGTACTTGAATCAAAATGAACCAGCACTTGGAGCAAAACCCAGGACATTTCAGATTTAACTACTGTTAATTAAAAAGTCTACTGGAACCAGTCCTGCAACCAGTCCATTTACTTACTGTCTATGTTTAAATATCTTAATTTCATTCGTGTAGAGACAAAAATCCTTTCAACCTAGTGTCTTGTCACTATTTTTACTTGTCGTCTATGTTTAAATATCTTAATTTCATTCATGTAGAGACAAACAAAAATCCTTTCAACCTAGTGTCTTGTCACTATTTACTAAGTATGAAAGAACAGTGTCATGTGGATAGGACTGTATCTTATCATAGGCTGAACTCCAACTGAGAGACAACCTCAGTTATCAAAACTCTGTGCCCCAGTTCAAAACCTCCTGGTGCTCCAGTCTTCCCCATGTGTTAAAGTAAAGGTTAAATTGCTATATACCAAGCAGGTAAGCACTCTGAAGTGGTTACTACAAACATAAGGCTTTAGTTTGTGAGCTGTCACTGAAGTCTGTTATTTGCTACTACCAGCAGTTACTTCACTACTCACCAGGCTACTCCTAACTACTGGACAAGTTAATCACATCTAACCACTCCTGTTTATCACATCACAGTAGCTCTTTATCTAAGGAACTAATTTTAAATTTTCCTTGTGAAACAAGTGGCACTGTAAGCTTTGTTTATAATCCTTGAAACTTCAAGATACAGAAAA